TGGATCTGTGTTTTGAGCAAATGAAGTATTATAACTCGGCATTGATATGCAAGTAAAAATGGTAACTTCAACACCCTATTATGCTCAAGGAAATGGCCAAGCAGAGGCTTCAAATAAAGTTGTTATTGAAATTATTGAGAAAATGATAAAAGATAAGCCAAGGCGTTGGCATGAAACCCTTTCAGAAGCTTTGTGGGCTTACAGAAATTCGAAGCGAACAAGTACAGGGATAACTCCTTATCGGCTTACATTTGGCCATGATGCTGTGCTACTGATGGAGTTAAATGTAAAATCGGCAAGAGTAGCCTTATAACACAATCTTATACCTGCCGATTACAACGAAGCTATGCTTGCCGAGTTAGAAGATTTGGATGAAGTCCAAAAACTTGCTTTGGACCACCTTATGGTCCATAAAGCAAAAGTAACGAAGGCTTACAACAAACGGATGAAGTTCAAGTCATTTGTAGAGGGTGATATGGTTTGGCAAACAATTCTTCCACCTGGAAATTTGGATAGAGTTTATGGCAAGTGATCACCTACTTGGAAGGGTCCATATTTGGTTCATCAAGTATTGCATGGACGAGCTTACAGGTTAAAAGATTTATATGGTGAAATCCATGAGGGACCAATAAATGGAAGGTACCTTAAAAATATAAGCCAACTATTTTTGAACTTATGGAGAAAAAGAAAACCTTCACTAAGTAAAAATAGTTTGAATTGTATTTATGCGATTTTGTTTGTAACTTGTTTTGGAGCAATAAGTTTGTGGTTAGAATAAAGATGCATTAAAATAAAAGGCAATTATAGCAAATAGTCCAAAACCCATATTACATACCAGAAAGTCAAATTGTTCATAAAAAAACATAAGTGTTCAACATTGCTTAAAACTTTGGCAAAAATCTTCAAATTTGGCCTTCATATCTGTCCATGAGGCCTTGGTTTTGGTGAGCTTCACTTCTGCCTGTTTCCTCGACTGTTCCAACTTTGGTATTTGAACCTGAAGCGCTTTGAACCTGGGTGCATCAAGTTCGGTTTGTTTCTTCAGATTTGCCACCTTGTGATCAAGCTGGGCTTTATCTTGTTGAAGCCGAGCTAATTCTGCTTGCAATTTTTTCTCCATAACATCCAACTCGGCAGCCTCTTTCTTCAACAACAGGTGAAGTTCTCTCCCACACTTTAAAGATTGAGAAAGTTTCTCTTTTTCTTGGTTCTGGGCAGCATATTGGTTGATGGTATGAGTAAAATTAGCATAAGAAGTGATCATAGAGGGAACTTGAAGCTAGAAATTCTTGAAAAAGGATTGGTCAATTAAAGAAAATCCTAGGTAACTACTCAGAAAGGAGAAGGTCTCGGTAAGTTCTGCTTTAAAGGTAGGAATGGAGGACAAGTCCTGTTGCAACATCTGGGACAATAGCTGAATGACTTTTGTTATTTCTAAGGGGGTTTCAGAAATCTTTTCGGCAGGAGGTTCAAGATCGGGTGAATCGAATACTGACTTAAATAAAGAGTCAAGGGTTGTGAAATGGGAACTTGGGTTGATGCTGGCAGAAATGGATGGAGTAGCCGAGTCTTTTTGTACCTGAAATATTTTAATCAGTCTCAATCCTTACAAGTCTAAATAAAGTAAGCTATGTAGATCATAACTTACTTCATCAGAGTCCCCAATTTGTTCATTCATGAAGGCTGCAGCTAGTTATTTAGCAAAAACTAGAGAAATTGCTGTTGGAGAAGACCTTTGCTCTTTTCCTATTGACATTTCCATTTTTTCATCAATACTGTGGCTTATCTATGAAATTCTCTAGAAAATAATGCCGATTTAGTCATAGCAATCTAATAAAATGTAGTGTGAAGATCAGGCATAAAAGAAGTGTTACCGGAGGGGTTTCAGAGACGGGTTTGACATGACTTCATCCTCATCTAATTCATCATCATCAATCAAGACAAAGTGCCTTTTGGCTCGTGATTTTTTGACAGGTTTCTTTCCAACAGTTTTCTGTCTTATTTTCCTCAGAGAAAAAGTGTTAACAAAATAAATGGTATGCATTAAGAGAGTAAGGATGAATTAATTATGAGTATTACCTTGGTAGTAGCCGGTGATGGGGGTATACTTTGCAAAAGGACATGAAAATCAATTTGGGTTTCTTCAGACTTGGTGGGTACTGATTGCTCTAGTATATTGGAGTGTGTGCCTGGAGTCATATGAGTGAGCATATAAATGGAATGCAAGCTTATATGAAAAGATTGAAGGTGTAAAACTTACTCTGTCGGGACCGAGACCTAGTCCTGCCTACAGGAGCGGCTGGAGGAGGATGATTTGGTGTTGGGTCTGTTATGTTCTCTGGCTCAGGAGGGGTAGTAAGAGCAACGGGATCAATTGAGTCTACACCTTGAAAACTGAGGGAAATGAATTTGTAGGATTCAAAAAGATTGCATACAAGCTGGCTGGAATCTACAGTTCTAGTAAAGTTGATGTATGATGACCACCAAGTCTCAAAGGCTGGATCAGTATGTGGTTCTTCCAGAAAGGGTTTGAAATGGAATTCTTGAAGGCGTTGAGTAAATCGGTTGGTTATATCCTGAAACTCTCCACTGTTCGAAAGCTTGACCTGCCGATGATAGTTTTTGTTATAAGAAAAGTGGGGAGGTACTGGGATCATTTGGGTCAATCCAAATTGTCGAGCTAGCTAAGTCGGGTTGTAGAATTCTACTCCAGTTCAGCTCTTTGGAAGATGGGGAGTGACTGTATTACAAGGAATATCCCTAGCAGTCAGGAAATGACCCCAAAAGTTGTTGTGAAGTTCAATTTGTTCTGTTGAAGACTCGGTAGTGGGAGGAAACAACCAGGATGGAGTTAACCGACATTTAGAGAAAGGAATAAATTGAGATGGAGTCCTGATTTTACACTGATGATAGAAAAACTGAAAACAATCATTAAAGGGGTGATCTTTGGGCTTTAGTTTGGCATACCCGAATGACAGTAAAGGATCACTATTACTAAGCCGAATGGGGGAAGATAATTCAAGGAAGTACGCATGTAGCCAGAATTGATAAAGCCAAAGAGGGCCTCCAAATCTTGAGAAATTGGAGGTAATGAGATCAGACAGACCTCTATACAAGGAAGCTAAAAGAAACGGAGCTAAGGCCATCAGCTTTCCTTTGGATAATACAATGGTCAACTGGGTAAGATCTTTAGTGATTTGAATAGCAGGTGCACATAGTAAATATCTACACAACCACAGCAACAAGAAACCTATGTGTTCTTGTTCATCTACTTTAGTTCTTTCTTCCCCCAACATTTCTTTTAAAAATAGGCCATGCGACTGTACAAAGGGTTTAGACCCTTTTTGTTCTGGGAAGTAAAAGGAAGTGTCTTCATCATAGAGGAAATAGTTGATTTCATCCCCTCCAGGTTTTAAACCCGTTAGAAAGCAGACATCCCTCAATGTGGGGGACATCATGCCACAGTGCAAGTGTAGTGAATTGGTCGTGGGGGACCAAAAGTGCAGAGAAAAAAAGAATAAAGCTCGGTCAAAGGTAAGAGGGATCAAACTGAGATGGATGAGGTCAAAGATACCTATCTTTTTCCATTGATCTCCTTTCGCGGCAGACACACAATCCACGCAATCGTTCCATTGGAGCATTGGTGGATGCCAATTTCTGACGGAGAGGGTTGGTCTATCTCCTTCTGCTGTCAGGAAGAGAGGTTTAGAGAAAGGAAGGTGTTGCTCGGCTTGTGGATATATCGGCGATAGCGAAGAAGGGAATCGATTCAGAAATGCTGGGCCAAGCCCCTTAGCATTTTCGGAGATGTCGATTAACGTTGTAATATCCAATTCGTTTTGGTCTAGGGTTTTGATCGCTGATTTGGTCAGTTGGGTATGTGATGTTGCTTTTGGGAAAGGGGATTCCAAATTCAAATTACTCAATTTCATTTGTTTTGAAGTCATGATTAAAGAAAAGAAAGACTGTGACAACCCGAATTTTTTTAAGGTTTTAAATTATATTTTATCTGATATTTTTTAATTATCAAAATTGTTTATTTAATTTTCATTGGAGACTTTTACCTAATTAGAGATATGGTAATGATATTTCAGTTTGTTAAGATTAAATTTGGGTTATTGGTATTTTGTAACTTTAGCATTTGTTTTAGTGGATTAGTTTAATTAATTATTTATTTATTAAGTTAGTGGAGTTCTTTACAGGAATGTTAAAATGTGGTGGGTGATATATTGTTATACAAATTGTATATGAATGGTGAGATGGTAAATGGTGAGGATGAAACCAACTGCCAGCCGAAAGTGGGTTTGATGAAGATATGCAATTGAAATTGAATTTGCGGGTCCCATTTGATGATAAATTAAAGAGTTTATTTGGTTTATTTCATTGTATATATATTATATATGTATATATATATATATGTAATCTGTTAAAGAGGAGAAGAAAAGGAAGTGGTATTGTGATAGTTTGCAGGTCCTACCAATGATGTAAATAGATTTTGATTTTTTGTTTATAGATATATATATATATATATAATATGTATGTAATGATGGAAAGATTGAAGATTAGATAAGAAGGAGTGGAAAGATAAAAGAAAGAAAAGATGAAATAAGGAAAAGAAGGAACAAGTCAGCCGAGATGGGAAAGGGAAGAAGAAAAATTGGAAATGTGATTTTTGGTGGCGGGCCCACTAGTTGATTGTTGGCAAAGTTCTTTTGACCTTCTTTTATGCACATGCTGATTTTATTGTTTGTTAAGTGATATTTAGAAAGTAAAGAAAGAGGAGGAAAAGGGATTGTCGGCCGAAATGATAAGGGGGTGGCGGTAGACCCCATTTGTGATGATTATGTTTGATATTTGATGACTTTTGTTCACTTTTTTCTTTAGCTTTGGCCTTTCACGTGGACTGTTTTTGTAGTTGGATTCAGATGAATGAAAAGAATTAAAGAGATAAAATGATGTGAGACTACTGAAGTGATTAGGTGGTGGGGTCCAATTGGTGATATGTTTGCAAATTGCAGTGAGATATTATTGTATAGTGTCGGTGCATTGCTTATATATATGTTGTATCTGTGACTTTGGTAAGAGAAGGAAAATTAAAGAGATACAGAGGAAACACACACAGTGAGCCGAGAGTTCACAGAGGCTGAAAGTTTGATGTTCCACTAGTGATTTGCTTTACAATGTAGGGTTCTTTATACCTTAAATTGCCTGAGTGATTTTTATCTCAATATTTGCTTAATGTTATTTTGTTAAAATTGCATTATGTATTTTTGTTTAAAATCATATGTATTATTTTGTGAAGCTAATTTTCATGGAACTCTTTCAGATTCTTGTTATGGTTTTTCCTACTGAGACTTCCCCCGTCTCACCCCCCTACAGTTTCAGGTACCAAGGATGAGCTTGGATTGATAGTAGCCGGCTAGGTGGAAAATTTGGTGTTGAGGAATTATTTAATTCATTTTAGAGAGTTGTTGTATTTTATTATTTGAGGAAATTGATTCTGTATCAATAAAAAGATATTTTCTTTTGAGATCTGGGTGTAATACTGATGTATTTTGATTTGAATAAATCGAAAATTTTATTTAGAAAATTCGGATCGTGACAAAGATGAAGTTGCAGAAAATTTTGGGAACGAAGTACTGTGGCAGAAGCAAGGTTGTTGGTTTGAAGGGAAGCGTTCGGTCTTCTGTGGATGTGAAAGAGACGTGAAGTATAGGGATACCAAAGGGTTAGACGCAGAATTAATGACTGAAATGATAGATTAGTGCAATCAGCGGTTTTTGGAAGTCCCAACAATCATGATACTTAGGAAATTATATGGTATACTCATGTTTTTAATGTAATGGGTGTTATTTGAATTTTGGAAGCCGAAGGGTTAAAATGGCTACCAAAATTGGGGAGCATTGTTAACATCCATTTTGGTAATTAGGTTTGGGCTCCAATTGGGCTTGACGAGCAGTGACATAGTAGAAGTTTGGGCCGAGAGGATACTGGGCTGTAAAAGCATTGGGTTGAAGATAGGCAGTAATGAATTTGGGCTAAGCAACAGACTTGGGTTGTGATTAGGATGGCATTGAAGCAGTTAAAGGAAGATTGAGTTTTGCATGGATAATGATTGGAAATGCAACAGATATGGTTGGTTTGGATGACCGGAAGTGACAAATATTAAGGGAGTATTTATTTAGTTACATAAATATGGGTTATAGGCAAAGGAGCAATGATGTGGCAGATTTTACACAAAGGCAAAGTTACATGCAAGGGGAACACTGATCGGATAGAAGATTATTTTGAATTTTAAATACAGTAGATAATAGTTATATATTTATCCTATATTTGAATTTAGTTAAGAATTAGTATTCCGTTAGGATTAATTTGATTTGAATAATTATTTAGTTGTTTGATAGAGTTTTAAAGTAATTAGAGTGCTTATATTTAGGAATTTATGAAGTTCATTTACCATTTATTCTTTAAATAATAAAAGAGGCATGCTGAGATAGAGGTCCAGCACCCTCAGAATCTTTTAATTTATTTGTTTGCTTTCTCAAGCCTTTCCTAAAATAACATCCTTACTATTTCTTCTCTATCTCTATCAATCTCTTGTTCTATATTTCCCTTCTTTCTATATCTATTTCTCTCCCCTTTCTATTCTCTCAATTGTTACTACAAATTACTCACTGAAAAGTTCTTTTAACTAAAGCAATACTGAACTCAAAAGAAGAATTTTTTTGTTCCTTTTTTCACTAAAGCAATACTGAACTCAAAAGAAGAGTTTTTTTGTTCCTTTTTTTCCTCTTATCTTCTGAAAGTCAACCTTCTCAAAGGGACTATATTTGACAACTCACACTCGAACCATATAATTGGTTCTAGCACGCCCGCTTCATCTCAACCATATCAAGAGGTTGTCCTGAAGAAGCCAGCCCCAGCCATTGGAATCCAGATGAAGGAAATTTCCCAGATTTGTAATTTAGAGTTGCAAGCGTCAATAGTTAAGAAGTAAATTTTTTTTTTTATTTTTTTTGCAGTCACTTCAATTATTATAGTCATTATTTTATTTTATTTTATTGTTTGTCCGCTCATTTTGCGGCACTTTACTCTGTTGTTTTCACTGCACCAAATATCATTGTCCCAAAATACATACATAGTTTAATCCCATAAATTCTGGAACTCCACGTTTCACCCTCTTACCGACTCCCTAAATCGACTCATTCCATTTTACAAATGTCCTACCATGCTCAGTTGTGCTCGAGGACAGCAGGCTTCATTCACATGAAATGGATCATTCCGAACAGAAAAATGAAGCCTCCATCTCAACAGTATTCAAAGAAATGGAAGCACACCATCCAAATGACTGAACTTTTGGTGAACTTATCTGTACACGGGCGCACCACACACACACACAAAATAAAAAAATCCATATTACATCTTCTACCCCTCTAATTACCGAGATGGGGGGTACTTACGCTAGTAGAGTGAAGAATTAACAGAAGGGCAACCTCGTTGTGGTCAAATCTTATTTTACACCAACAATGTTGCATGAAGGACCATGATGACATTACATTATCTCTGGACAACAGCAGAATTTCAAGTCTCCTGACCTACCTGCAATCTTTGATCTTCTATTTGCTTGCATCTTCCTATTTTTGTGAATCCTTGTAATAAATACAACAGTAGAACCTAAAGCAGCTGCCAAATGCAAGTTAATGTCAAAAGGATATTGTACAGCCTAATTCCTTGGCAGCAGTATCAAGGAACTGATTAGGCATTCCTGTTGCAAGTCGACGATGAGCTTCCCATGTTAGACACTTTTCAATATCTGCTTGCCAGTCAATAATGCCTACATTTAGGTACTGATAAACCGGACCATTGATGCCATTTTTGTCCACTTGTTTATTCCTAGATCTTATTGAACCACTATGCAAAATATCACGAAGAACTGATGTGCTAAGAGCACGGACATGAGCGCTAGGATGAGAGAGGCATCGGATTGTAGCTGGTAGGCGACACTGCAAGCGTTTGTCCAGATAAATCATATCAGTAAAAGTTTTGCATGGATATTTTAAGAAATTAAAGTTTTGGGGTAAACCAAGCAAGCATAACCTTTTTATTTCCAACGATGGGTTAAGTTTCCTACTATAGGAGAAATAAAAAGTTCCAATAAAATAAATGTTTTTCTTTTGCTTTTCCCTCCTCTTTGTAACATGTGCTCAGACATGAGGCTTCCTTTCCATCTGCTGGAGGAAGATTCCTCCGCCTAAGTTCATATCATATTTTTTTGGCCTTAAGCTGAATTAGATAAGAGTGTTTTTACTAAGTGTGTTGATTTACCTTTAACAGGTTTGATAGGCCATCTGCAACTGCCAAACCAGATTCGCCCCACTCAAGCACTGGTTGAACTGCTCTAGCTGTTGCTTCCAGGAGCTGTGCATTTTTAGGAAAAATGTTAATACATCACATAAGTATGGGAGACCACATTATATAAAGGCTAGTGCTTTTAATATCATATAATGCATAATTGTTCCTAAGGGCTTTGAGGTTACATTAAAAGAAATGCCCAAGTGTGCTAAGAACCAGTTTGTGGAAACAAGAAACTCCTAACCAGAGGAATGAAAAGATCATTTCCCGGCATTGGTCTTGCCTAAATGATGTGCTGCTAGGGTGTAATGAGATGGACCTAACATTCGGCACTGTTTTTGCACAAACCGGCAAATCTCAGACTCGAACCCACCACTCTCATGTTTGTCAACTGTACCTCTAACCATTGCATCAAGCAATGACCCTCAAAATATAATAATCAAAGGAAAAGAAAAAAGAAGATGCTAATGTGAAGATGAATCCTGAGTTACCTCCAGTTGTGGCAAAGTGCATGCTTCTCCATCAACAAGCATACCATCTGTGGCACGTAGAAGAAGATCTGAAGCACTAGCCAAGATTACCAATGATTCTGGAGTACTGTGATTTCTCATTAGCTCCACAATCAGTTTTACAATCCGCTGGTTGATTCTCCACATCTTTTGACCTTGGTCATCATCTTTAACAATCCAAGGTTGCAATTCCCTCTCCGCCTGACAAGCACACGTGGAGAAAACAGTGACTAAATAACTCAAATGGTTTAAATGAAAAGCAATAAGAACATGACGCTGCTATTAAATGCCTACTAAGTGGTACTGGCACCTACACGCCAAGATGGCACTGGAAAAGAAATAACTCCATTTAACCATTTTTACAGTATGCCAAAAGTAGTTTTGACTTTTCAATGCCTTTTGGTTTCCTCATTGTCAAACAGGTCAGTAGCAAAAAAATACAAGGCAAATTTTTTCAAGTAAAGCATTTACAAGTTGAACAAATCTGGACCTGGAAAACAACAGCTGTTGCAGCTTTTGTTGGTGATGCAGATACGACATTGCATAGAGCATCAACCACCTGTTTACATATAGACAAGATGGTCAACAAAACAAATTTTTTTAATAAAGTAGCACAAATGGATTTACAAGAATTTACTGCTCTATAACTGCACATTGTTTGGTGTAACTAAGTTATATATTGCTGAACTCAAATTCAATTTTTTATTGTTACACGTGTGTATAAAATAAACAAATAATGTTAAGTGCATATGAGAATGAAATAGGCAGCAATCAGTAACATTTTAATCCACATAGGATATCAGGTAGGGTCACCAACAACCATCTTAAAAAGCAAAAAAATACACCTGCTATATAAAAAATGTGCGAAAAACACCCCTGCTAATTAGCTGTCCATATAAATCCCTAACATTTGAAAATATGTGCAAATTGCACCCTTCACCATCGATTTTGACCCCAAAATACCCTTTAAAATCAGTGTTTATTTTTATTTTGTCTCGAGGCATTTTAGGAATTTCAGTCTTCAAATAGACAAATAAGGACATTATAAGACTAGACTAAACACCATGCCTGATTATTACAAATAGAATCAGAAATGGATGCATCCGAAAATCTTGATGAAGGGTGTTTAAAATTCACCGGCTGCTAAACCTAACCCTTAGGGTTATGGGTTCATGGGGGCTATAACTAGTTGTAGCGTGCAGTGTACTAGTGAATAGGAAAAAAGAAATCAAGCCGACCCCAAACTTTAAATAGGTGACAAGAGATAAAAACTCATATATGTCCACCACTACAACATAAGCTTTAGCAATAGGCTGAAGAGTAGTAATAACCCCAAAAGGTCATCACTAGGACTGATCTCGTCTAATGCAATGCTGGGAGGGCTAGATACCATAGATTGCATGCATACCTAACCTTATAGCATTATATGCACCAAACAGCAGCTCTCATCTTCTTTTTTATAAGGATGGAAAAGTATTCTAGAGAAAGGTAGCTTGGTGATCTATTTTTTCCATCAAATAGTGTCATGTTGTTCAGGGTAAATATTTAATTTTCATGCACAGTCATATAACAAAGATCGTACGTGTTGATGCTGCTCACACAACTGATATATCTCATGTTGCTGTCCCCGCGGATAGGGAATTTTCTTGTTCCACATGGACAATTAAAGAATTGAGGTTTAATAACTGCAAATTGGGTAGATTCAATATTAACGATAAAAAAATTTCCCAATAACACTAAGACTAACATAATACCAGAGAAGGAAGATGTCATGTTCAGATCTCAACCTCTCAATGTTTTATGTTGTGTGCATGGTTCACTTATGAGGAGCCACACAGGAACTGTTGGGGGCAGCAGAAGCGCGCGAATAAGAAAGATTTAAAGAAAGCCAACAAAGCAATCACATACAAACACAAGATATACATGGTTCAGCCAAAACCAGCCTACGTCCATGGATGAGAAGAGATTCTACTATGATTCGTAGAGATATTACAACAAGAGAGTATAACACCACATAAATGTCTTTTCACCATGTACTACTCCACGAGCCCATCTCCTTGCTACCAGTGACCCTCGATGTTTTTCCTACTCTACCAACCCGCATGCTACCTCAACCCATCAACTCCCTCGTGAGACTGCATCTCTCTCAATCTCATAAATTTCAACCCAAAGCCTTTGTATCTAGAAACATAATTATCTATTTATAGAGTTCCAAACCCAATTCCTAGTTGGACAAGAATTACAATTTCTTAAAGGCCAAGAATTGCCAAACAAGATATTACCAAACAGAATACAACTCTAAAATAGAAACATAATTAGAATGGGAATTTGAGACACAAATTCCAACAATCTCCACCTTGGCTCAAATTCCAGTAAGTCAATCATCGCTTCCGCGGCATTGATCAGGGCAATTCTTTCGCAGCTTCAATCTTGACAATACTCCTGTAAGTCTCTGATTGTTCCACATTCTACATTACTCGACCAATCAGACCTCCAAGGCTCCACCTTAACTATTCGAGCTCCATGCCATGTAACCAAACTGATTGACTCCACCTACAACCGAAGCCCATTGCAGCACATGTTGAGACTTCTTGTGTTTCTGGATCTCCTTCACCTTTGGCTCTGATACCAATTTGCTGAGGTAGTGGAAACGCGCGAATAAGAAAGATTCAAAGAAAGCTAACAAAGCAATCACATACCGTTGTAAAAAATAAACGGAAGCGAAGAGATAAATAAAACAAGTAGAACACACAGATATTACGTAGTTCAGCCACTAGAACCTACATCCACGGCACAAAAAGCGCAAAACGCTACATCACTTTTATAATACTCTCTCAATTCATATACAATACAATGATGGAGGCTCCTTTATATAGGAGAAGAAATTATGAGAATGGAAAGAATTATAAAATAGGTAACAAGGAGGATTTTTCTCCACTGATTCATCTGGAAACACCAAATCTTCAATAATAGAAGAAACAATATCAATTACTGAAAGATTTTCCTACACTGATTCCTCCATTAAATCTTCAATACTCCCCTTCAAGTTGGAGCATGAATGCCCAACTTGCCATTGAGATGACGAATAACAACACTTGTGAATGATGAAGAGAGATGAGGGAAGGTAAAGAACAATGCTACCGAACATACCGGTAGCACAAACAAGTTAAAACAAAAATTGTCGGAGACACAGCAAAGGCTAAGACAATGCTATCGAACACACCAGCAGCCCAAACAAGTCAAACAAAAATTGCCGGAGACACGACAAAGGCGAAAACAATGCTACCGAACAAGCCGACAGCCCAAATAAATCAATACAAACACAAGATATACATGGTTTAGCCAAAACCGGCCAACATCCATTAGCCAAAACCGGCCAACATCCATTGATGAGAAGAGATTCCATTATGATTCATAGAGATATTACAACAATAGAGTACTAACACCACGTAAATGTCTTTTCACTATGTACCACTCCACGAGCCTGTCTCCTCGCCACCAGTGACCCGCAGTGTTTTTCCTACTCTACCAACCTGCATACTACCTCTGCCCATCAACTCCCTCGTGAGACTACATCTCTCTCAATCTCAAAAGTATCAACCCAAAGCCTATGTATCTATTTATAGAGTTCCAAACCCAATTCCTGGTTGAATAAGGATTATAATTTCTTACAGGCCAAGACTTACCAAACAAGAAATTACCAAACAAAATACAACTCTAAAATAGAAACATAATTAGAATAGGAATTTCAGACAGATTCCAACAGGAACTTAGTTCAAAGCAAAGCAGTCTTTCGGGGCAGCAGTTTCAAACACAATCCACTATGTAGAAGATAATGTTACGCAAACTCTGACTGAGACTTGTGCTTATGTCCACTTTGCTAAAACCTAGTTGTTGACCATCTCACACTTTGCCTACTTTTTGAGTGATCCAATGCTTACTGCCTTCAACTCCAAGATAAATGGTCTTAGATGAATGAATTTCCATTGATTGTAATCAAACACAATAAAGGTCTTTGTTCTCAACTCAATCACAGTTTTTTATTAAGGATATCTAGTGAATTTCATACTTATGAATGAAAAAAGCTCACAAATCAATAGAAAACTAGGGTTATGGAATGCCTAAACATATTCTCCCTTCTCTGCAATTTTTTTCACACCTACAATAACCGAAAGACATAATTTTATTGTTGTCAAATGCTTCCTCACAGTAGAGTCCAATATGGAATCAAATACTTGGGGAACTAGGATTACCAACAAATTAGACCGATGCAACTGGTTAATGAACATAGTTGGACTGGTGCAAGTGGCTGTTCCACCAGAACTTCATTTTGATATTTAATATATTTCACAGAACACTAAACATTGCATTGCCACAATCCATGTATATTTCTCTTCCTTGCTTCTCTCATGGTATAGTCCTCTTCCTGTGAAGCCCTTTTCTCCTCTGTCCAACCGATGCAAGTGCCGACCGTATAAACTCCAGTATAATCCAATAGCAAGTTGGACCGATGCAAAAATTACATTGACCGGTACAATGATCAATTGTTTCCAGATTCATCCTTGAATCAAATATAACCATTTAAAACATAAAATCTGAAAACACTAACACATCTACCTATTCAGCAGTAAACCTAGACAAAGAAAGGTACAGACTATCTAAGTCATTACCAACCTTACCCCTAAACAGCAGTAAACCTAGACAAAGAAAGGTACAGACTATCTAAGTCATTACCAACCTTACCCCTAAAGCATCACGGAGCATTTTGACAAGATATTCTTGTTAACAGATATGATAGCCACGATTTATGGAATGACTTACCGTATTAGCAGATATTTGATTATGCTATAGAATATGCTATGATTTGATTTAGATTTGATTTAGATTTCCTTTCTTGCAATACGAGCATGTACTCTTTTTATCTATAAATACTAGAGCTGTGAATGAGTGATTATCTCATTCAAGCCTTTACACAATTGTATCATTTTTCTTCTTTTTATATTTCTACTGTTCTAATGCAGTTTCCATCTCCAAATCTCAATCTTCAATTACAAACCTTGATGAAGAGTCCGGGCATTAACATACCACTTTTTTTTTTTACACCCCAACTGACAACCTTTGGAATGGAATTTCGCAACAATACTCGCAACAATACAAGAATTATCCTACCATTTCCAAAACCAATAAGGAGTTGCACATGTGGAACTCTTACATGCATCAGACCAAATTAACCAGTTCAACTAGGATTGTGATTCTTATCCTAAACTTGTATACGTATCTTTTCATAATTTTAAAGCCTCCATTCCTAATGTTGAGAGAGAAATTATTCTCCAACACCTAAAATTATCAGAAATCTTAGATGCCCCGACTCATTGTTTCTTATTTTAATTTTATATACGCATCTTTTCATATATCTTAAACTACCCTTTCTTATAATTATCAAAACCTTTTTTTATTGAAACTTCTTTTTCAATTTTTCTCTTCTCTCTCACACATTGCATCTCTAACTTCCTTTTCTTGGACTCTACTACTCTCTCCCTACTTAAAAATACACCCCAT